ATATGACGATTTAAAAATAATGAACATGACCAGAAAATAGTTTTAAAGTTTAGACTGCTTGTGAAACTTCAGGCAGGAATATGATGCGTGATAAACATTCCATAAGGAGTTACTGCATTTAGCCTAGGGACACTTACAAACACATAGCAAAAGGGACCGGAAAACATATACATGTTAAGTAAAAAAAATCATCCAGTAAAATAGTTGAACTCGCCTGGGTTATTTTTGAAAATTAGATTATTCAGTGGACGACATATATAACGCTATTCGTGAGTAGTATTGATCCAAAAGCATCCAGAATAAAACATGCAGTATGGCAATTAATTCCAGGGTGCTTGATGCTGTTGAGGTTTTTGACACTCGCTCGGATCAGAACAATCGAATGAATCCAGATAATTGTATGGTTGTCATTGAACGAACCATCTAAAATGAACTTATGATTGCAGAAAACTTATAGCTGAAACTCACCGTATGTTTTTGGAGTAGTGCCATCCTTGTTGTTTGGCAATGGAACTCGAGAATATGAAATTAGGCAGGCAGTGGTCGGAAGAAAAGATATTACAGGATAGTGTATAGTTTAAAACAGGATGAGGTAATAAGATAAGGAACACTGAATATTAGATCCAGATAACTATTTAGTCCTTGATCGCATTGTTAGTCAATGTATATTTACGCTATTTACAGGTCATATTTGCTAGAGCTTGATGTTTAAACAAGACTATGTCGCTGAAGCATGTAAATGCTATTACAGCTTGTTAACAAATCATCAAAGCTAATTAGTTAATATAGACGACCAGTTTTTATTATCGATTGAGCTAGTTTGTCATGAGGACTAATCAATATAACATTACGATAATGCATGTGAGCATTAATCAGAGGACTATTGGAATACAGGGTTAACATAAATATAAAATCGATCGAGAAAGTTGAAGTGGAAATAAGGATTAATAATAATAGGTTGCGTTTCTTTAGTTGGGCTCACCAATGTAGAATTATGATCTACTATGATATTAGTACTGCTCTAATAATAGACCTAATCCTAAATTTGTAGATTCGTCATGATATAACTGCCTAATCTATAAGATCTTACGTGGAAGTCACACCATCGACTACGCCAACTCACTGTATCGTATCAATTACCAATACATGATGAAGAAGAAGGTTAGGTTAGAGAAGGAACAATATATTTAATATGAATAGAGACCACGCCTGCATGGCCGAGCCATGCCACTCGATCAACTCCAGTCCATTCAATTCATTGTTCGCGCCTTCTCCATTGTTAGGTATTTCTCCGCGTTAAATATTGAATATCTATTTTCTGAGTAGTCTCGTGTTCACAGCTTTGTGGATTGTGTGGCTATTGTGCAATGCCACTACATATTCATATTAGTAACAGTCGAACTTGTTATAATCTTGTTCTTTCTAGATACTAGGCGGTCCGTAATAAAGTGCATTGGACGTGCACATGCAACTTCAATCCCATTATTCTCTAATCATTGATAACTTTATCACATATTACAGCGGACAACTTAATAGCTACTTTAATGTTAATCTTAACACTAAACAGACCCACGTCAGTCATTCCTTTTATTTCAGAAATTTTGTCCGGAGAAAATTTGTTGGATTCGGCAGGTTTAGTATTCCCTCCGTAGATCCCTATTATGAACACGTCATCAAACCTTGGGGCAACGATCTGTCTTAATATTGGACATAAATGTAGATTAGAGCTCCTAGACATAGAAAGTTCATCTACATTATTATACAGATTTAAAGTATCAAAATCAAGATACACAGCCAAAGTTCAACATATCTAAACAGATTGGTTTTCAATCAGAGGTGGTAGTAAACACCACTGCCGATGAACTTTGGTTGAACACTTTTGCATGTCCTAAGGACACTTCTACTGCTCCTTGATAAGTCTGAAACCAGAAAGGTTGTTATAATTAATTTCATCAATACATTGTTGATCTGGTCTTTACAATTTATGAACTTGTGAGAGCAAAAATTAACGTCATTACATCCTATAAGAAATATATTAACGTATTCACTTCATATGCATACCATGATTATCTAGAAGCCCTTCATTGCTTTAGCTAGTGGATGATGTAACAGTTAAAGGATTCTCATTACAACTAATTTCTCTCTTAACTGCTATCGATTAAACATACACCAGTGCTAAAGTCAGTTACCTTTGACCGTACTTTCATTAGCGACCTGGCTAAACGAAAGCAAGTTATGTTTTTTCATGAAAGCTGTTCGTATTTTATTCTACCGTCTGTTAAAAGCCAATCTATGACGGCCGAGGACGCTTGATACGTTAATATTTTCCCTATGTCTACGAGCTCTCTCAGTGACTTTAACTGAACTCATCGCGTTGGGCTAACAAGGTAATTAGTCATAAAGAACCCGAAAAACGGACAGCACGTCACTCACTTGCATCACTATAGTGTTCGAACGAACTAATGATTCTTTTGTACCTGTTGATTGCTTGATTTCGAATTCTAAATACAATACATTCGTTTGTGCTCATCTAGTACTTCTTTATTCGATTGCGTTAATTCTGGGATTCCTAGTTCATACGATAATTCAAATACTTTCAAATATTATAATCACGCAATTTATTTGTGATGGCTACCAAGAGTGTCGGAAAACTTTAGCTGAACAAACAACGAAGTCAGTGTATATGCGTCTCAGCCAAATCTCTGTGTCCGTATTTTGTTACTTATGTTTATGTCAATAGTTTTTTTATTAAACGATGCGTTATTTTGTTGACGTTTATGAAAACATAAGTATGGGATGTGGCATATTCAAACACCGTACGTTACGTATAAGTGTCGACGAATATCCCCAAATACTCAACGTAAGGGGAGAAAATCGAAATTTCCCCTAAATAACCGACGTGAAGGTGAAAAAGCAAAATTTCCTTTTTATTTACGTTTTTATCCCTTTATTTCCCCTTTGTTGGTTGATTGGGACTGGAAAGACGAAAAACTGATGAAGAATATTATTTATTGTCATAATATTGTACTATGTAACTCCGTGTAGTGAGGAAATACTAGACGTTGGAGGACATAGAAAGCTATCAGAACAGTGCTTGTCAACGGCAGGGTCGTTGGATTTTAACTTGTGGCTGGTCACGTATTAGAGTCATCACTACCCCAGTAGGAGGGAGTAAGTTGTAGTGTTAAGTAAATCCACAATACAAACAGCTTTCCAGTGATGGATATTGACACCGACTTCTAATGGACATTTACTGGTTGGATACTGTTAGTTCCATAGACAAGGATCTGTATCGGATCACCGTTAAAATTCTCCTGATATGAATTGCCAGTTCAGTTGTTTAACACTTTACCACCTCTGCATATGATAGTCTGGCAAGTGGAATTACTACCAGAGAACACAGGTATAGGTAGCCCTATTAGTCTCACAATTATATGTCAAGCTTATTCATATAGCTTCGAAATCAACAAACTAACAAGCGTGTGTTTAAAAGTCTGAAATACTCTTGTTTGATGACCAGGTTTCATAGACGCGACTATATCTAATACATACAATCGTTCTACCACCTACGGAGATAAAAGTATGTTAATCATTTATCATACGCAAGTTCGATGTAGTTGGAAATATTGGACACGTGATCTTCAGTGCCCGGGATGTTGAATTTCTCCGTGCTTAGTGTGTGGCAACGCTCCAGGGGTATCGCGACGCTTCTCTGCGCTACTTTCTTATTTCTGCTTTGTGCACAGCCAAAATTCGAAATAATTCATAATAAATTTGCGAGTTTATTTTCCGTTTTTACGATTAAATGAGAAGGGGTCTTACCATTTTTCGGTACATGGTATCGCTAAGTCCTTGAAAATTCACTAATCAGGTGCTGCTAGGTGACCGACTTTTTCTTTGTCTAGGTTGTGGTGACGAGTTAGAAGTTGTGTGCTCTATCATCATCTACATCCTGAAAACAAGCATCTGACTCAGACGAACTGCGTTTACATCCATACGTACAGACATATCTCACGAGAAAATACTTTAGAGTTGGATCATCACTGTTCTCTTTACATACAAACACAAAGTACTTAGTATGCGTATACTACTGAGGATGTGACAGGTATTCAGTGTTTGACAACGCTTTTACCAGTAACACCTTCTAATATATTTTTCGTTCCAACCCAGAGAAATCAAAAGACAGAGTCGAGGAGATCGGAAGAGTGTATTTGGCGATAACCAATATATCGGAATTCTCTGATCTAATCTGGCTAGCGATTGCGGTTGATGTTGAGCACGGCGTTACTACACGTGATCTGGTGCGGATGCATGACCGAGCGCCTTCAGCTAGATGAGTCCACTAAAACATATGGTCAGCATCCAATGTCGAAAACTTACGGGGCTATTTATTTTAGGGATTGATTTGCCGCTACACAACAAAAACAATTATTAACTAAAGAAGTCATATTACCTTATGTACTTCTTTCAAATAGGTCTCAAAATTGTCCTAACTTGGAAATCGACGAAATAACATAATATCATTGAAGATTCGTCCTACCTCATGCATCATCACGATGGCATCGTCTTCGTTAATTGAAAGATGGATGTTATCACACATGGTGTGGCTGAACTCAATTCAAATCTATATGTAGCACGTACTATTAGCGTTTACTTGCAAGCAGGAGTGATCTGAAACACAACACAATAGTCAGGACCGGTAAATGCCACTGAAGTAAGAACACGGCGTACTGGCACAACAGAGATATATTTAAAAATTGAAAGACGCGATTCGAGTACAAAAAGGGAAACTTATTACAAAATGGGTTTATTCATTGTTCTGCAGGTTCAGCCTGTGCAATGCTTGTTCCTCTTCTTCTAGTACGTTTACTTTCTGTTGCCCTGCAATGAGGAAAACAAACTCACGTTAGTAACGTCACATATAACGATTTATAATACTGTTACATAAAAATGTCTTGATTTGACCGCTTCTGAAAAACTTCATGCATTGTCGATATGACGCACAAATAATCTTGCGACAGTTTGACCTTCAAGTGCTCGCAACCTCCATCAGTGGACGATACCACTGAAGCGTTGCCCTAGTGTCTCATGTAAGTGCGCTATATATTATACAATTTTTATGTTCACCGTAGATTTAAAAGGCTTGGTCAACGCTTTTTCTAGATTGTAGTATGTATACTGTGTTTAGTACTAGCATCTAAATCTCCAATTCCGTAAATACTTTAGGTCTCCATCGGTTTTGTTTAGCAAGATTTGATTTCTATTTTGATCAACAATTAGCAGTCTAGTGTAATATTCACGAGATATCGTATGGTGCGGCGTCTGAACATTTTTTTCAGCTCTTGATATCAACTTGTGCGCTACTGTCATTTATCCAGTTTCTCACTTCTGTTTTAGACTTGGGAACTTCAAATTTCGAAATGCCTGACACTACTCCTGCAGAGGTAAACATTGTGTTCTTCTTTTTTTCTATTCTGTTTTATTCGTGTCGTTACAAAAGGGTATCGCAATAAACATGCGCCCCGTAATAAGGAAATGAGATTGTAATGACAAGGAAAGGAATGTGAGCATAATAAAAAGAACAATAGGTGAATAAGAACAAGTGAATGTGAGTAAAATGCGATGGGAAAAGTTGTACAGTTGAAAATAAAACCAAAAAGAATGCTTGTTAAAAAAGTTTCACTTTTGGGAAAGTAAAAGCAGTTACTACAGGACTTCCATTGGCTTTCACTGTCAGACATGTCTATTAACATCTTAAGCCACTGTAATGCACTGTCGCTAGGACCCGAGCTAAGAAATCGCGAAGGACATACAAATGAATAACATAGGTTCACCAACCTACTATCCTTATTACTGAAGACTGAAAAGCCAGTTTTGTGCTTCGTCATTCACTAAATGACCATCGCGTCTAATCCAATTAGTCCTAGCGTTGCGGATGATGCACGATACGGAGTTCGCTGGGGGGACATTCACAGCACATTTCCAAGCTACTGAAACTGATGTTTCAAGACTATAACACCGACTGAATTAGTCACTGTCCAAGATAATGATGTATTTTACTTTTACAAATTGGATTGTAAACATTGTGCTACTCTGGATGCATTGTAAGGTTTATAAACTCCATTCCAAAACAGTGGTTGTTGCTACCGTCTATGTTTTCTTGCTGAATCCAGTCGTTCGTGAGAAATAGTCTCATGAAATGCATCACCACGGTAGTCTTATATCTGAGTTGTCTAGAATAGAAGTTGAAGAAAAGCTGAAAGCGTTCAAATCAATTTGATATCTGTAAACTAACGATTAGAAGCCCAATTATTCGATTACTAGACCATCATACCTTCATAGTTTCCAAGTATTGATCTAAAAACATGGTGCTGTGACGTATCTTTGACCATCAGTTAGTTTTTTTTTGAGAACCATAATTCTTGATAGTATTCAAGCAAATAACATCTTCATTACTAGTAGGATAAACTGAACACTTGCAGGTGGTTTACTATTTTGTTTTAGTAATGGTCGGCATAGCATGAGACCAAGGAATAAGCTACTTCAGCTGTCTAATTCGGCTCTCACCAATTATGGCAAACGGTTCTAATACTCAGTTTGTGATGCATCTTATTACTTTTCAGTTTTGAATTCCATTCTTTGTCAGGTTTTCACTTGGCAACACCCGGTAATATGCTAACGTTGTAATGATATCGTTAGTTGATAAGTCGGGTTTGTATGTATGGTTGTATTTGGTTGTTACATTACATTCTCTTATAACTGTTACTTTAGTATTGTGATCAGGGTTGTTTCTATAATCAGTAGAACCTGGTACTTTAAGTAAAAGTACGCAATTGCTAACTTCTAAAACCTCACTGCGTAGAATTATAATGTAATCATACCAAATATAAATCAATTGTGTCACAACTATCACAATGTAAAACATTTTATTTTTTTGTTCCGTTCCTCCAATTTGTCATGTTTAGGCCATGCCAACTGTCAGTACGACAGGAACGCCTGCTGTTCAACAACAACAAGCTCAACCGAACAAATGGGGGATGTTGAAGGCATTTGCTTTCCGTCTGCTTACAGCATACTTTGTCCTCAACTTGTTTCGTCGTCCATCACCTAACCAAATGGATCCGAGCAAAACAGTTATCCCAGCTACAAATCTTTATCAGTCGGGTTCTATGATGGATTTATTTGTCTATTTAAGTGAAGATCCAACATTTCATTCCTTTAATAACTCGAATGCTTTATTTTGGTATGAACCCAATATTACGTATGGGGATTGGAATGGCGGGCCAGGCGGAGATGGTTCATATTCAAAGATCAGTGAAATTCAATGCAGTCAGGTGAGCTTTTGTGGGTCTTTTTGCTGTTTTGAGTGTGTGAACACCGTAACATAGATAAATAATAAGTTACTGTTTAACCTGTCCTTCAGTATTTTATAATGTTAACTGTCATAAAACGGTTATGCTGTTCAAATGTAGTTGACGACTTTATGAACATGTCTACATAGTTTCTACCCACACATTCACTAATTACAGTTTTGTACCAACTGTTGTAATCTCTTTCTTACGGTTATAACCCAGCTATTCCTATTGCTTAGTATTCTTGGACACCAAATCACTCGACAAGACCCCAAATCAGAACACGGTTGAACAGGAAAGAGATTATATTCCAAATAACAAGGTTAGATGGAAGCAAGAAGCACAATAGAGAAAACGTTAGTACATTTATAGTTTTTACATGAGAAGAATCTAGAGTATTCTCCAAGTACCGACTAGTGCTGATTGGATAAGAATTAGCCAATCAACGTGCACTGAAGCAATCGTGCATTGAGCATGCTTTAATCCAGTCTATGTTCTGCTAACACCTAACAAAGTAATGGTCTTATAGATGTCTAGTCTACTTTGGAAGTCAAATGTATTCTGTATGATTAGCTTCAACATCTAGCTAACTTTAATGATAATGGAATCAAGACATAAGTAAACTTTAGAGTTCCTTGTCACCATTGGTAAGAGTGAATAATCGGACTACCACTTTGCGATCATTCCGTTTCGAGCATATGTTTATACACCTTAATGGGTCCAACCTAGTTACATTTGAAAGATCACACATCGGTAGCGATTGTATTGTATAGATAGCTAAGTCAAAAGTCTTTAATTTGAGATGGTGGATAATATTATACATACATAGGAAAAAACTAAAAACTGTTCTATTAGAGTGGCTAATGTAAAATAAAAGTAAAGACTGCTATTATCTTTCAACATTTCTTTTCATAGGGTGAACGAATCTCAATAACTACTTGTAAATTAATAAGTGGTTGTAAATTAATTTCGGTTTATTCAGCGAAGCACATTATAATGTGTAAGCTTAGTGAATCTGGACTAAAAGTTTTTGGCATTAAACTTAAGTACGACAGCGGCAATATGCAATGTTAAGCGATTGTTTAAATTTATAAGAAACGAGTCTAAAAAAGGTAGCAATCTACATGGGTGTTGCTAAGAAAATTTAGTGTGACCAATTTTTATAACGACAGTTGATTTTGATAGACAGTCCAACTTGCTTCTGGCTACCTTTCCGTTGTCCACTATCCATCAGTCATGAATAAGACACTTTACCCAAAGTTAAAAATATATGAAAAGGTGCCAGGCCTTCATTTAGTCACACTCAAATATATAACAGTCTACCAGCAACTAGTTTACGATATAAATTTATAACACTAAATGCGCATTTCACGTCACCTGCGTAGTCTAATCAATTTTTGCATTTTAATGACTTACAAAATCTTGGCATTTATACAAATCTCATTTACTTCTGATTATTGTTTATAGTTGAACTAAAAGCGAAATATCAGGACGATTGAGTATCCTAAGAGATTTTGTGTCACTGTACGTCTTCAAAATGATCCTATAAAAATTATGGACAGGTAGGAGTTACAAGTAGTCAATTATACGCATTTTTGAAACTGCCTATGGATGGCAAACCATCTGGTAATTCGTGCTAGTGCTAGTTGTGCACTATTGGATAAAAAAAACTTATCGATGAGGTTTTACACCTGAATTGACTGAAGCAGCTCAAAAACATTCCACACATAATTAACCGCTGGTTATAGTGATTTTATGTATTAAAGTAAGAATGGATTATAATCAAGCTATCCTAGAAAGTCATCCATCAATTTCTTGTACGACAATAAGCCTTTACGTTGAGCATTCAAGTCTTGGCGTGGTCCCTTTCTTTTAGCATATACCTCTTGGTTTTTATTACTTCAGCCTTTTCCTTAAAGTATATGCCTCTAACCTACTTATCTCTCTTTCCTTTGTCGTTTAACATATCAAGGTTTGGATAAGCGGTTAACGTAAATAACCCTCACAAAATGAATGTCATCCATTATTCATGAGGTATGGCAACTTAGATCGATGCACGTGTGTGCCTGGTCCTGCGTTGTAGCTGGCTGACTGACTATTCATGAGTCTATTAAGATTACCAAACTAGACTTTTATTTTTGTGTAAATTGTTTAATCCTGTCCAGATTTTCGATTTTCCTGTAAATAGTAGATTATCACGATAGAAAGTGACCACTCCTATCGACGTGTATTATTTGCCTTAAACTATGTTAAATCAATCATTCCCCCATTTTTCTCTTTTTATTTTTTTAGTTTCCCAACCTTATGTCCAATGGTTCATTGTATATACATGTATATTTTGTTAAACCTGGTTTCTCACCAGATCCGAATACGGGCAATAACTATTCACTGAAGTATACTGTATATAAATCGAAAAGTAGGTATTAAAATGCTTCTCTTTTTTTCCTTTTATCTAACATACATTTCGTACTGCTTACAACTCTATTGCAGTCATTTAAAAAAGACTCAGTTTAAATATTAACACATGGTTTATTAATTATTTTACTGTATCGTGTTTCAGTGTTGACGCGTTACAAACGTCGTCGTTTATCCCGTACCACAAATCTGATCACAGGTCATACTGATTCCCATCCAGATTTGGTAGCTGACTCTTCGACACCATCTGATGTACAATATTTACCTCCAATCACTCATTGGCATCCAAATTTAACTATTAACTTAGTCGATGACCATTCTCCATGGGTAAAAGGTTCTGTTCCAGTTCCTTTAGATCAATGTAAGTATTTTATTGTTCGCAGTGAAAAGTGGTGTACAATTTTACTTTTATCAGCTTTAATCTAATACGTATACTTGGAAGTTTAAGTTTCCTAGTACCAAACATTATTACTCTTTTATTTCAAATCACCTGTAACTCAATAAAAGAAATGTGATTTTCGTTTCATAGTGTGTCATACAATATTACCTGATAGTTGTTCATGAAGTTATCGATATATACAGTAAATATTTAATTCATCGATATGTCGTTTTTCAAGTTCCTACTTTTATTACAATCACTAGTGTTCAGTCTCTTAAACAGTCACTGCTCGTTTCCACATTGTTCTCTTTGTTACTTCTATCATAACAAATTTTTCCTACTATTAGTGCTACAATTAAAAACTCGAAGAAGTAAATTGTTTGATAAATAGTCTGCTTATTAGATTTTCAAATTTTCATGAACCTGAATATTTTCACAGGTTAATATCAAACCAGTGAAACTTGTTAACTAGGGATAAAACAGTAGGTTATTTAAGTGTATTCTGGATCAGTATGTGATCATTTTAATCTACATGTACCATTGGGACCAAATGTTTGTTGGGATTTGAATAACATTTCAGACAATGACAACTCAAGGTGGTAGTCTGAAATTCGGTCTCATAAAATCAATAATATTTTTAAAGTTGCATTCGTAGTGCATAAAGCAAAAAGAAAGTAAGGTTAACATAGCATCTATGCACGAGTATTTTGTTTATGCTCCTGAATTTGTTTTTCTTTGATTGTATCAGGTTATGTAGAAAGTTAAAGATTCACTATAAGTTGGAGTATTGGATGTTTTCAGCTCTACTTTTCATTAAATTTCATATTTAATTGGTGTGGTTAACATAACCGACTAGCTGCTATTGTTCCTGTTTCATATGTATGTAATTTGTAAAGCAATGGTTAATTGTTGTTGCTAACTTCTATTAAAATAGACCTTTACTTCATTTCGATGGTTAGCAGTTACAAAATTAGTCGAAAAAATTATTTTGCATGTTCGCATTATGCTTTTTCCGTTTTATGTAAATAATGGGTTCAGTATAAAGTTCTAGTGTATATTCCAAACTCTGGTGAAACTCTTGGCCGCCTAGTTTTAAATCCACATTCAGCTTTGTATCTAAGTTTTTTATTCTTCGGTAAATCTCATTGTTATATGTTTCAATTGATTGATCAACTTTTATTCTTTGGTGGAATTTAGTCAGAGAAAAGAAATAAGTGGTAGCTATTTTTCAATGTCATTTGCTTATTGTTTAAAAATTTGTTGTTGTATGTACTTCCACAGTAGATTAGTGACTCACATTGTATGCTGTTTATTTGTTTGTGTTAATTAAACGTGATTAAAATGCGCTTTTTGACCGTTATTTATCAAGATAATAAACATATTTAACGCAGTTTTTATGGAATGTTTTTAACATTTTGTAAGCTTGGCTTCTATCGATTTTCTAATCTATGCAACCAAACGTGTTCTTTGTGTAAAAAGTTAAAGTGAAAAATAAAGACTAATTTATAATTTTGCATCAAGTGGACTTATAGAAAACAACGAGATTTTCTCGTCATTTAAAAGTTAAATTTTTATATTTATCATAAACTGATATATATTGAAAATCAAAATTTCTCTGTGGTGAAATATCTGAGTTCCATTATTATCGAGCTTCCTCACCGACTACTTACAACATCTTCCAGGGTCTAATTAAAAGATTCATGATCCCTAAGCATGCGTACTGCGCTCAGTAATTCCCTCACCGTACAGCTCTAATTCATCATTTATACAATATGTAGATTGCGCGTCATTGATTGATACTAGTACTAACTAAAATTATACAAATTGGCATTTGTCGCATGTCTCATTTCTTTTATTCAACAGCTTTTTTGCTGAATATTTAACGTATTTCTCAAATAAAATGACGATTGTTTTTTTTAAAAAAGACCTCAAAATATGCAAACTATTTTAATCGACATCGTGCTCTCGATTTCTTCATACATAGTAACCATATTTCCACTAAAAGAACATGAAATGATCAGTTGTATTCATCATGTGAATATGTATATTATGTACCGGTCGTATGACTGACTTATTTGTTGTTTTCCAATTACCTCCAATTTTTATACACATTTCTGTAAAAGGTTTTCTGTTCTCATTAATTTGATCAAAAAAATTTAGTATTTGCAGTGATCATCATTATTTTGCCTACTTCTGTATGCCCTAAATAAACTCATAATTACTTCCTATACTATCTCATTTAAAAGATTGTTTTCATTTGACCTTTAACATCATGGCACATGATTTTTTGTCATAATTAGAAAACTTGGACTGTTTCTAATTTGACTGGGACAACCACTTGTTTCACTACACAGGCTATACATTATACAACTGCTAGAAATGGCATAAATTCTGACTAATAATTTTTGTTATATACACTGTATATATGGATACGTATATATAACTAGTCTTCTTTATAAGTTAACGAACGGACATTTCTGAAATCGCTTGGGTTTTTACTAATTTTACAGTTATCGAGTTCTATTCACCGACCAATGAATATTATCCTGTTGTTTATCTGAATGATTATTGGAATTTAAATGAAGATTATAAACCAGTGAATGAAACTACGCCAATACTACCAATTCATATTACTTTAGCACCTTTATCTCTATTTAAATGGCAGTTGTACGCTGCACAGACAGCTAAGAAAACTTGGTTCAACCAGATAATGGCCACTTCTATGTTACCATCAGAAAATGAAAATGATGAGGAACAAGATACAATAAAGGTAAAATTAATGATATGGAGTACAAAGGTTTTGCTTCTTTTTGAGCTTTAGCATGAACTTCGTTCTTGTTTTCATAAAACAGTTCGCTAATTATTTTGATCTTTTATTGTTTCTGTGAATATAAACAGTTTTTGTTATGATTAGATCTATAAATTTGAACATAACACATAACCAAAATTACTTATTGCATTTTCGTTGTGGAAGTGAAATTCAGGTATAAGCCATAGGTAAGTCTTCGAAATGTCACACTTGTCCACACAATTTAGCGAAAATATACTAGTTACTGAATCTTGTTTCAGTAGTTTAAGTAAACTGAAGAGACAACAAAAAGTGTAATTGAACAGAATTATCATCATTTACTGTTCTATTGAATTTTGTTTGTTCACAAATGTTTTATCAACCAGCGTGTATGATGAGGAATTAACGACCTATCGTTGTACTCTACACAGAATAATCTTTAACCATTCAGCCAAGAAGCAATTGAAACCAAATTATGGCTACTCAAGGCTATCTTTCTGCATCATTTTTCTGTCTGATCCGTAAATTAGTTTCACATAGTGAGTCTATTGGATTAACCAGCTATAAGTTACATCCACACAAATATGACTTGAAATATACTGAGATATCTTTTATTTATGTTGAATTATCTGCACCAGTCTTTCAGTAACCAAAGTAATTTTTTGTGGGTATGGAAGGTGTGTTAAAGTTCTTTTGAATATTGGGTATATTGCATTTACCCATTTTGTACAAATTGTAAATCAATATGACATTTTTCATTTATAAATCGACAAACTAAATACTAACCATTAGTTTGCAACTGGGGAATTAAGAATGAAAAAGATTTGATTCACTAACCAACCAGACTCCTTGAACAGAACGTCATCTATCTGCCGTCCATTTTCATTTCCTTATAGGCTTTTATCACTTAGTTATCGGTAGTTTAGGGGAGTTCAACTCTTTACGGTATCGTACTCCATACTTGTTTAATACTTATTGCTTCTGAACTCAGGTGACCGTTCATTGAGAAATATAGTATTGAAATTTTGTCATAAATAGTTGACTGTTTACTTGTAGAAACGTTTCTTTTCAAACTAAAAGTTGTTATATCTAAAGCTTATATTCTTGACATACCGCGTATTACTTGAGCACTAGAACGCTAAAACCCTTCCAACTCGCAATGAGAAGACAGAAAACTAGTGAAAGGAATATTATTCCAGACCGTGTCTAATTATGGTACAAAACCGTCAGGTATTTATAGTTTTTAGTAAAAACAAAATCATTATTATAGCTATCCAATCCTCACACAGGGGGTTATAAGCATTGTTCAATCGGGAAGCTACACGTAGCGATTCCAGAATATTCGTCCAAAAGGTGGTTGGATGGAATATCTTCGGCTCTTTCTGAGCTTCTTACAGCTTCCTCGAGTTCACCCGTGGACTGTCCTCACAAAAGTGTAGAATTTAGTGCCGAAATTCTAAAATGGGTCGGAAGGGGTATTTTAGTATTACCTGGTTGCTTAACTTTCATGAGTGATGCAGATATTTTAAAACGTTTCGTTGATAATTAACAGTTAATCACTTTAAAAAATTAACCGCCGTCAAATAAAACTCGATAATGACGGAACGATTAGTTTTTTCAATGAGGCGTTATATTTTCTCGTACATTATGCTAAAGTGTGGGTTGATAGACATATTATGAATGGTCAAAATTTTGTAAGTGCATACTAATAAATTGCAACTAAAGTGATCAACAACAAAAACACATACATCAGAAAACATTTCTCACTAATTTGGATTATAAAATTTCCTGAATATCAATGAAGCAACTCATGACTGCACCGAAGTTTGCGGAAAATAATTTGTAATATAATGGATAAAAATTAAGCAGGATATCTGGGTTTTAATTTCAATATCATGTCAGTGACTTGAAAATATCGAATCGGTTGTACGTTAACTGTGACGTAATAGTGTTTATGTCTGTGCTAATTTTTCTCAGATTAACATTCACTAAAACGTTACGTATCAAATTAACCTGTTTTTTTTTGTACATCAGTTCATTTAAAGAGTGTCGTTAGTAATACGGTTTTGCTCGTAGCTTTCATTCAGTCATAGTGTATCATTGTGCATCATCTGTCTAATAATACTAACTAAGACATGCTGATCACAAACTTGCCTTCTATAACAACTTGTCAAACAATATCGTTAGTCATGACACTTTTTATATCGCTAATCAACAATTTATTATGTGTACTTTATTTCAACCTCTATTTGTTATTCTATGCTTGATTTTTCCCTTTTCCTCTTCGTGTTATATATAGAAAGCACTGATCGAAACAAATCCTTTGCTTTTAGCTGTAACAGTTGTCGTATCGATTGTCCATAGCGTTTTTGAATTGTTAGCATTTAAAAATGGTGAGTTCAATAAGTCATGTCATATTTCCTTACTAACTTCCTGTTTTCACGCTGGTTTAAAACAAATATTGTTTTGACTGTAGAGTTAGTGTGAGCATCGTAAGAACTATTTTGTTAAATTTCAATATATATATATACCGGCAAGACACCTGATTTTATAGTTAGATGTTTTCATACTCTCCATAGTGGCTAGATAATACATTAGTTAAAAACATTCATCTATTGTCTGAAAGTTTGGTATTTTCATTCATAGAAGAGAAAAGTCAAACCACTCTAGTGTCTTAAGACTTTGTGGTTGTTGGTTAAAATGTATTTATAGGGTTTATGCTTCTGCGAACAATTCTTATTTGGTCTAATTGATTTCGTGTTTAAGTGTTAAATGCATTTCTTTTACAACCCTTTAGATATACAGTTTTGGAAAACAAGAGAATCACTGGAAGGTCTCTCAGTTCGCTCTGTGTTTTTCAATGTCTTCCAGTCATTCATTGTTGTGCTGTACGTACTTGATAACGATACCAATTTTTTTATAAAACTATCAGTTGTTTTTGGACTGCTAATTGAGATATGGAAAATCAAGAAAGTCCTTTCTTTCAGAGTAAGTTAAATTATACAAACACAAAGAGATTCTATGAATGATTGGTCTTTCTGTTTAATTAGAAATTTTTTTGTAAATAGAAAACCTAAAGTTATATAATCTTATCTGAGAAACATTGACTCAATAAACATATTTAAAACAAAATTATTGGAAAAAGTCATACATAGTTATCTGAAAATGAACAGTTTTGTTTATCTAACGAGTGGATTTCCTAAACTAGGTATTCACAGGTTATCAACCATCAGAGTCCATATAGAAAAGCTGGATAATTTTTCATGTGCTTTTGTCCCAAATTCATTTCAAGTGCCTCAGATGTATTCATTCTTTTATCTTCCTATAGTTATTAAGTTGTTTCTACTTATCGTATGTTTTATACCTACATTGATCTTTGTACAGCATACAATTCTAAGCATCAATTGTGCAGTATTACGACAAACAACTGCTTATCAGTACGGGTGTGTGCAGATTGTTTGATGTCATAGATATCAGAAACTAACCCAAGTTAAACAATTCGTAACCAAAAAGCACTAGACAACTGTTTTGCTCTATTATGGAACTCCTCAGTAATGCACATCTACGACTCCATCTGGGATCAATTCCGAAACATTTGAGTTTCAAGGCTCCCGTTTTGCGCTTAGAACACTGAGTCGACACCCAGTGGTTGCACGTCTAGTTTCTATCGATTCACAATATTGAGCAACTATCTTTTATTGTTTTTAGTGGGTAACTGCTTCACCCAACGAGTTTGAACTTCGCTGGCCATAACCTCTCACCAGAACTCCTTGAATTACCTCTTGAGACCAGTTAGCTACTCTACAACTACTCAACATTTCCAAACAACCTGAATGGAACACTGAAGTTGGCCCCCCGACTCTAGTTGAAGTTCAAAGATCTATGGCTAAACTGAAACGGGGAAGAGCAGCTGGTCTAAATGGATTAAATCCAGAGGTTTTTAAGTATGATGGTCCAGTTTTAGCGATTAGGTTGACTAATATTTTAGCTAAAATCTGGGAGTTGGACATAATCTCATCTGACTGGTCGCAATCACTGATTGTCTCAATATATAAGAAGGGGTCAAAATCATCTGTTGCTAACCATAGAGGGATTAGTTTGATTACTTATAGCATCTAAAATACTAGCCTCAATAATTATCGGACGCCGTGAACTGCAAACATGAGAAAATCAGTCTGGCTTCAGACCTGGTCGTGGCTGCATCGACCACATATTCACCATTCGTCAGGTTTTAGAACACAAGCATACTTATCGGCGTCCGACAATGATGGTCTTTCTTCACTTAAAAGCAGCATTTGACTCTGTTGACCGAGATGTTCTGTGGCAGTGTCTATCATTGAAAGTCGTACATCAGAAGTACATTAATCTTGTGAAGGCTCTTTACTCAAACACTACCAGGCGAACTGTCATCTGATTTTGTAACTTCCAATGGTGTCCGTCAAGGCTGTCCACTATGTCCATTTTTATTCAACTTCATCATAGACCTACTGATGGAAATAAAATTCTCATCGACTGAATTCTCGGGTATTGATCTCCTTCCAGGAGGTCCACTTATCGACTTAGAATACGCAGATGACATAGTTCTGTTTGGTGAAGACCCTGATAAAATGCAGAGTCTTCTGACCACTCTAAGCAACAATGCAAGCATGTTCGGAATGCACTTCTCTCCCTCTAACTGCGTGTTGTTGCTTCAGGACTGGTCTGCGTCAACACCTGAACTAAGGATAGGTAGTGAGACAGTCGAACGCGTTACCAACTTCACTTATCTTTGGAGTGTGATCAGCCCTAATGGGTTGGTATCTGACGATATCTCAGCACGGATTCGAAAGCTTGCTTGGCTTTTACCACCTTACATCACCTGTGGCGAAGGCGATATATCCGTCTATCAATTAAAGGACGAGTATACTGGGTGATAGTTCGTTCTGTTTTGCTTTATGGCTGCGAAACAAGGCCATTAAGACTGCAGGATAGTCGTAAGTTACTAATATTTGGTCAAAAATGCCTTAGAAATATTGCTCGCATCGGCTGGGATCACCGGGTAAATAATAGTGATGTTAGACCCAGGGTATTATAGAATGATGCTAAATTAGTTGATAAGGTTATAAATCTTCATCGACTGAGATGGTTAGGCTACGTAATGCGTATGCCTGAACACCGATTACCACGACGTGCAATGCTAACCGGTGTTGGGGATGGTTGGAAGAAAGTTAGGGGTGGCCAAACCAAAACGTGGCATCAGTGCCTGAAGTCACTAACTTCTAATCTGAGCCATGTTGGTAGATGCAGACTACTTGGTTGGGGTCCACCTGACTGTCATAACCAATGATTGGAGACTCTGGGTGACATGGCTGAGGATCGATCACAATGGCGTCGGTGTATACATCCTTTGCCTGTCCTTAAACGATGAGATTAAAATTGTTTTATACCTTTTCTTTCCACGAACTAATTCTTTCTTCCTGTATTATATCCTTATACATAATTTTTTCCTTTATACATTGCTACCAATGAAGGGACTAGTTCTATGAATTTGGTGTTCATTTTTTCGTGCTAATGAGATGTAGCAACTTGGACCGACGCGTATATGCGCCTGGTCCTACATTATAGATGACTTACTGAGACCAGTCACTAGTGTGCACATGGTTATTTTTAATATATGGGACTTGTAGACTGGTCCCTTTACTATTCCGTTCAAACAAATATGGAACAATTATTTTAGTTGAATTATTTACACAGTTGAAAAATAAGTGTTGCAAATGGTTAAGCAGGTCTCCTGGCTTTAGTCCATCAGGCTATATTACCAAATTTGAACACATCTAAAATAATTTATATTTCACTAAAAGAGTGTAAAGCTCTTTGACTTCCTCCCTCTGTCGTATATATTGACTGTAAAATTAATGGCATAATTAAATGCATTTCCATACAGCTTCTGATGATATTTTTTGAAATGATCTCTTACACTTTCATTAGTATCACCTCATTTTATTTTCCTTATTTCGTTGATTTAGTTGGATTATGATTCGTTGGTATTCAATGTATTTCCACGTATTCATGTGGATTACCAATCATCATATGTAGAAAGTGATACGAAAAAATATGATCAGGTAAATTATATTGTATTGAAATTTTCTCTTGTTATAATGTTTATATAGTAAAGCGTGTTAGAAAAATTCAACAATGCCACACACACTCGTTAAACATTATATTATTATACTCAGTTACCTGTAATGTAGTTTATAATACCAGAGTTATTGAACATTTAGTCTGTTTTATGACAATATATGGAAGTATGATGAATATAATTAATCTGTTGTTGTTTAAAACTGAATTCTAGTCCATAAATCTCTCCCAGAATAATGCACAAAGATAGCTTCTCTTTAGTGTTGAAAAAGCAGTCGTTATATATGATGTAGTTTCCCAGTATTAAGACAGACTCTGTTCACAAGTTCATATAACCTTCCAGCATACCAAGCTTTATTGTTTTTATTGGTGTCTATTATAATATACTCAGTTTATCACCTCTGTTGTATCAGTTACATATCTTGAGAGAAAAACTATATGTGAATTTCTAATATTTTCCAGATGGCTTTCCGATATTTATCCTGGATTTTATTCCCATTGTTAGCAGCTTATTGTGGATATTCATTAATATATGAAGAGCATCGTGGTTGGTATTCGTGGATACTTTCTGTCTCTTACGGTTTCCTGTTGACATTCGGTAAGTTTATGTTATACACTTGGAATGAGCCACTAATTTCTATCGAAGTAGCTTAAAGTAAGTAGTTGTAGAACAGCGTTCAAATCGTCAATTCATTCATCTTTCATTGGGTTACAGTGTAATATATTCTGATCACATGACAATCATTGTCGATTAAAATAAATCAAGCGAACGGTGTGTATTTACGCTATATAATTTATTACAATAGTATAAAGGCATATATATATATATATATATATATATATATATATATATAACTATTTTCACACAATAAACTAAACTTTATCATTTTCTTATTAAACTCAATCGTCAATCATTTACTAAATAATCAACACCGAACTTTTCCACTCAATTTTGTTACGCATTACTAATAATATCTTTTATTGCCAATGGTTGAGTGATGTACACAAGTCCATTATCGAATTCTAGATTTCCCGAATAACTATTCTCCCAATGTTAGATTTTCACATTTCATGGAATTTTTGCTGTTTGATGTCTTTAACTTAATAAAATCTCAATTTTCTATTTCTCTAAACATCTAAAATTAATAAGACACTATTGTAATATGTAAACGACAAGCATGTACTAAAATCAGTGATCTCTACTTCTTGGCTGTATTCATTGAGTTACTTGGATAGTAAGATCCTTACCTTACTGATGACAAATTATATATATATATATATATAATTTGTGACTAGCAATCCTAATTGCAGATACCAGGTGTTTTAGTTCACCAGACTAATTTAAGTGGAATAAATTTATGTGTTTTAGTGTCTTCTGTTGTGAACCGGTGTATCAGTAGTTGTTTAATGTTTGTGGTAATTATGTTACTAAAATTCTAATTTATCGGTCAACGTTTAGCAAATACACATTTTACAGTTAGATGGGGTGAAATTTATTTGGATCACGAACTCTTTTCTGTTTCGAACTTATTAATTGACAATGTTTTGCTTAGTTTTGTACATAGGATCCATTAACTATTGGTGTTTAAATGGCTACTTGTTTGTGATCAAGTACGACAGTCCCTTTCAGGTCTAATCATTCTTGCTTATGACTGCTGATTTTTTTATTGAGACCCATTTGTATCTTAAAACATTAATTTTTATTATTAGTTATGTTGTCTATGAAACTAAGTTTCCATGTAGTTTATTAACACATTCCTGAATGTAGTTGGTACATTGACTTGATAGTTGAACTTAAATGTCGTGGAACACTCGTTCATTTAGGTTCTAATTTGCGGATCAGGCTAGTCGGAAAGCAATAAAACTAAAAGCAGCAAACTCAGTTTTTGAAGGTAAAGTCGTACTGCACTATAATGTGACGGCACTAAGGTGTTTCTTTTAGATAACCATCATGTGCCTCCATTCTGCAGGAGAAAGAGAAGTCTGGTTTTGAAAATATCACACCTCACCTTACCACACAGACTGCCGTCCCCAGCAGTTAGGCCTTAAAAGTATGTAGCTAGCTCATCCAAAGCTACTCACAAAAGGTTATGTTTAACTGACCTCAAGCAAAATTGTTCCTTGTTCACTGTAGTTACTCTACCATGCCGACAAAACAACACTTGATTCGTTTTTTTCATGTGTTTTAAGATGAAGTATCCTTCCACGACTGAGCAACCGGAAAATAAAAACCACCCATACTTTTAACAACACTTGATTACTTCTCTGCAATAAATCATAATCTAAACGGGCTTTATGGTTCAAATAAATGGATCCAATAACCTTATCAGCAAATTAATCTTGCTGTACATTTCGATTAGTTGTCAGTGATGAGAAGGATATTTTACGAAGTATTCAATAAATCCTACATCACACAGTATGATATCTAACATTTAAACCTTTTTTATTTGGTATATTTTGAAGGTTTCATCATGATGACCCCACAATTGTTTATCAATTATAAAATGAAATCTGTTGCTCATCTTCCCTGGAGAATGTTAACATACAAAGCACTGAATACATTTATTGATGATTTATTTGCGTTTGTTATCCGCATGCCTACTCTGTATCGAATCGGATGTCTACGTGACGGTAAGACTCAATTTTTAAGGATATGTTTTTTAGCTTAGTTCAAAACTGTTGACATAAAAGGTAGTGTCTTGAAAAACCCAGTGTAATATTTCGATTTTCGAAAAATTAAAAAATCTATCCTTTTTTTGGTCTGGATTGTTTCGTTTGTACAAATTATTTAATGTCACAGTTGGTGGAAATCAAGTTATGCTACTGTCGTTAATTAAGTATATATTGAACAATATATTCAACATTGAATTGCCTTATCAGTGTAGCAGATGTATTTAGACGAATATCATTCTCTTTAGAAAAAATATTTCAATTATTAGAACAAAATAATCACACACACTGCTATATTATGATAGTTTGGTTTTCTTTTTTTTGCACTTCACCTTTAAATCACTACATTAGTTGTACGCAGTTTAATATCACACTTTTCATATGTTGGTGAATTTTTATTCAAACATAAACTATAGTCTTGAAATAAATAAAAATAATGTATTTGTAATATGCCAATGGGTAGAAGAATTAAATTTTCTGACGTTTCGTGACTCAGTGTAAGCCACTTCTTCAGAGAATAACTAAAATCAACCCAAGTTTAAATAGTATAAGGGAACAAAGCAAGAATATTAGGTGCGACCAATTAAAAATAGAGTGGTGTAAGGTACTTATATCATAGGTCTGATTAGAATTTTCACTGTTATTTCTTACTTTCCTTTTAGACGTGATATTTTTCATCTACTTATATCAACGTTGGATATATCCAATGGATCCCAATCGTATTAATGAATTTGGAGTCAGTAAGGAGATGCTCGACGCTCATATCAAATGTGAACCGAAGCAGTCCGACATCGATAGCGAAACAACGCCTGCTTTATCTTCCACTTCTTCGGATCCAAATCCAACCCTTTCCGATTCTGATGATCAGAGTGACGTTACATCGTCTGTGCGTAAACGAAAATCAGGTTCACTCAAGAAGTGATTCTCTCTTTAATTCTATCTTCATATCCTTCTTTCCCTTTTCCTTCTTTGTTTTTTTAATTCGTTGACGAAAATGTTTTTTTGTATGTTATTTATTCAGTTCATCCTGTTTATCAACTTTAACTTCCAAAATTTTTGTTGTTCAATATAATCTTGTTAACATATTTTCAAAACAAATTGTTTTCTGTTGCGATTGCTTCCTCGTTCTCCCAACTAATCCTTAATTTTCCCCTTTATATATACCGATGTGGGATTCCTAAACCATTAGGGCTACTTGAGTTTAATACTAGAAAGTTATCGTTGGAGAAATCAATGCCCACTTTAGGGCCATCCTACTATTCAATCTTTATTTTTGTTCTATCCAACTCATCAATTCGAGTATGTTGCACACACTGTGTTCGCTTTGATTTCCATCTTTTTTTACTAATCATTTATTTGTTAGTATGCATACTACACATCACCTGCTTTTCGTTTTCTTGTGACATTTTTCACAGTGTCCATTATCTTATCTTTTTTAGATTTAAGAAGGATGACTTTTATTCAGATGAGTTAGTTCTGTATGTTTTTCAATAAACATATGCGACACTTCATTCATGATTGCTGTTTAACAAGTCTCATTTTGATTTGTTAATTACGTTTCAAATTATATCAACAACATCTGCATTTCTCATTGCGAATGTAATTAAAATGCCTGATTGGCCCTTAGCTGTAGTTTCAATTTTCGGGATATCTCTAACGTTTTACTGAACTGTATTGATGAGCATAAGATGTACAAACTCTGTAGCAGAAATATATTGGAATATCTTAAAAATAAACAATTGTTATAACAAATTGCTTGAGCTCTTAGTGTTATGTACCATAGTTTGTGTTATTTGATGGGACTGTATATACAATTGATGTGTCTCATGATAGATATTTTGCCTTATGAATAACATTACTTGTAGTTGTAGTGACTATCTTCTTGTTAACAGTGATTATCTTTTTTATTCCAACCCAATCCTTAGAATCGTTTGGTGATTGGATTACTTACCAAATGCATCACTGATGTATTTGCTCGGCTTTCGGAATAATGGATTTATGTGTGTGAATATTTGATTGAAGATCCATTTCTGAAGGGTATCTACAAATGAATTACTTTTCAGTAATCCATGCTTCTAAACAACATTTCCCGTTGAACATGAAAAGTAGTATTATTCAAATAACCCAGTTTCAGATTATAAACAGTAAATAAAATATCTTGCGAATCAGAAAAGGTATAAACGTTACAAACCTAAAAAGTAAACTAAATTTATTGGTTGTGTGGATAAAAAACAACAAATAAATGTAGTAAATTATCGCAAAAATCACAATTCAGATTTCACAAGTGAAAATCTAGAGTTATTAACAAATACGATTTGTTCTATTCAAGTCTATTTCCTACACATTCCAATTATTATCGTTACATGGAAATGTGAGTTATTTTGTTGGAGTACAAAGATACGTAAACGGGAATGAATATGATTTCCATTCATCTTAATAATTTTTATGGAAATAATCTCTGATTTTTTTAATTTGTAGTTTTAATGGTATACTATGAATCGAAACCTTTTCAATGGTGAACTGGGCTGATACTGTCCACCGTAGACAGATTTCAATAGTTATAACCGTTTGGTGTTTTACTCTGATTACAAAGTAATTAGGGGGAGGAATAAGTATTTGTGAATAATTTTCTCTCTAGAAACTTACCATATCATACAGGTGTTAGAAATATTTTTCTCCAGCTTTCTGTGTAATAGTGTCTACAAGTTGGTATGTAGAAATCGAGGTTTGAAAAAGACAAATGTTATAATAGATAATGTTTCACAGATGACATATCCATCATACCATGCTCCCAATATATGTGAGGGTGATATGTCAAAAGAACTAAAATAATCGAATATCTGTCAGTCCACTTAAATTATAACTAAAACGTAATACCTGTGGATTCACACCTTAAAAGTGATTTTAATATTTTCTGTGATCATCAACCTACTTACTTTACTTACGTACGCCAATTAGTCATAATAGAGCATAGGCCGCCGACCAGCATTCTTCAACCCACTCTGTCCTGGGCCTTCTTTTCTACTGTCCAGTTGTTGTTCATTCTTCTTATGTGTCTCCATTTCTCGGCGTAATGTGTTCTTTGGCCTTGAGGATTCCATATGAGGGCTTGCTTTGTGATGCAATAGGGTACTTTCCTCAATGTGTATCCAGCGGTTCTTCCTCCGCCGTAATCTGGTTTGTTCTCTCACACAGTAGGTTGTTGCTGATAGTGTCTGGTCAACGAATCCAAAGTATTTTGCGTAGACAACTGTCAATAAACACTTGTATCTTCCGGATGATGGCTTTTGTAGTTCTCAGCTTCCGCCCCATACAGTAGAACTGTTTTGACATTTGTATTTGTTAGGTTTGAAGCTTCACGGGTTCACTTAATCTGCGAACGAGAACAAGACTCAGTGACCAAAGACCAGTAATCTAGTTATTGATGCGTTCCAGCCCCGCTACCTAGAAGGAGAAATCCAAGCTTGGTATGGAAAATATATTCTGCAAACATCCAGAAAACGAGCGAGCCCACAAACACAATTTAAAACGTTTATATACAAATATATATAATCAATATTGTCATGGGAAATTTAAAACATTAATCAATGAGTTCATCAATTGACTGCTATTAATTATTTAATCGATATGATAAAATTACAAATATGAGTTTTTGGGATGTATCGTCCCCAACAGTATTGAAAATTCTGACCTTGGTGTTGGTTGACAGTTGTTTTGAGTTCGAGATGTTCTTCAGTTGTGGATATGCTGCTCTTGCTCTGCCGATTCACATCTGCATCAGATCCACCGTGTTTATCAGTGATACTATCCAGATATGCAAAGGTTTTGACATCTTCCGAATCTTCTCTGTCAAGTGTGATTTGTTTGGTGCATGTTGTATTGTGTCGGAGAATTTCGCTCTTCCCTTTGTGTATGTTGAAATCTACTGCTGCTTCACTGGTTGTCTTCTCCTGTATTTGTTGTTGCGTGTGCGATAGAAGAGCCAGATAATCCGTCAGGTCTAGATCGTCCAGCTGCACCCTAGATGTCCACTGTATCCCATGCTTCTCCTCGGATGTTCACGTCTTCACGATCCAGTCGATCACTAGGAGAAAGAGAAAGGATGAGAGTAAGCAACCTTGCCTGATACCGGTCTTGCCTTCGAACGAGTCTGTCAACTGTCCTCCTTGCACGATTTTGCAGTTTAATCCATCACAGGAATTTCGTATGATATTGACTACCTTCTCAGGTACGCCATAGTGTCGAAGAAGCCTTCATAGTGTTGTTCTGTCCACGCTATCAAATGCTTTTTCGTAGTCAATGAAGTTGATGTAGAGTGATGAATTCCATTCAATTGATTGATCCACAATGATCCGTAGAGTTGTGATTTGGTCTGTACACGATCTATCCTTACGGAATCCTGCCTGTTAGTCTTGAAGTTGGGCGTCTACAGAGTCCTTCATTCTGTCTAACAATACCCTGTTGAATGTTTTTCTTGGTATTGAGAGAAGAGTGATGCCCCTGTAGTTATCACAGTTGCTGAGATCGCCTTTCTTCGGTATTTTGGTCAGAAGTCCTTCTTTCCAGTCTTTTGGTACTTGTTCCTCATCCCAAATCTTATTGAAGAAAATGTGGAGTATCCTTGCATTACCGCTACGTCTGCTTTTAGTGCCTCTGCTGGAATGTTGTCTGGTCCTGCTGCTTTGCCACTCTTGATTTGTCTGATGGCCATGCTGATTTCTTCAATTGTTGGTGGGCCAACATTGATTGGGAGGTCCGTGGGTGCTGCTTCGATGTTGGGTGGGTTCAGTGGAGCTGGTCGATTCAAGAGTTCTTTGAAGTGTTCTACCCACCTGTTTTGTTGCTCTTCAATGTTGGTGATTACCTCGCCCTCCTTGCTTTTCACTGGTCGTTTTGGTTTGCGGCGATTTCCAGAGAGTTTCTTTGTCGTGTAATACAGTTGTCTCATGTTTCCTTCTCTTGAAGCCTTTTCCGCAGTCGTTGCTAAATCTTCTACATATTTACGTTTGTCAGTCCTGATGCTCCTCTTCACTTGCTTGTTTACTTCTGTGTACTCAGCTTGTGCCTTGGTTTTCTCTGCTCTTGTTTGGCTGTTATTGATTGCTGTTTTCTTGTTCCTCCTTTCTTGAATCTTGTCCAGTGTATCAACGGTGATTCATTCCTTGTGGTTGTTGGGGTGATTGTCTCTTTCATCCCTTTCCATTTGTTCTCCATAGTAGTGCCCTTTCCATTGAGTAGATCATGAAAGGCTTGGAATCTATTGCTGAAGGTTATCCTGAATTTGTTAAGTTTGTCGGCATCACTAAGAAAAACCGTAATAAAGTGTTGTGACGTTGTCCGCCCCATTTCTCACAGCTTCTTAAGTTTCAATTTCATCTTGGCGACCAACAGGTGATGATCTGATGCTATATCAGCACCTCTCTTGGTTCTCACGTCCTCCATCATCCTTCTGAACGCTTTGTTGATGCAGATATCTTCAATTTGTTTCTACGTAGTGTGATCTGGCGAAATTCATGTGGCTTTGTGAATGCACATATTTGGGAACACAGTATCGCCTATGACCAGTTTATTGAAGGCACAAAGGTTTGCAAATATCTCACCATTTTCATTCCTTTCTCCTAGTCCATGTCGTCCCATGATGTCTTCATATCCGGTGTTGTCCATTCCAACCTTGTCATTTAAATCTCCCATCAGAATTGTCAAGTCCTTTGTTGGGCACTTCTCAACGATTGACTGCAGCCTATCGTAGAATTGATCTTTAACGTCTTCATTGTAGTGGTTGGTAGGCACATAGCATTGGAGGACGTTCACTGAAATGCCCTCTCTTTGTTTTGAAGGAGGCCTTGGTGATCCTGTGTCCATGAGGTTCCCATCCTATAAGTGCATTTTGTGCTTGTTTGAACAGCAATAGTGCAACTCCTTGTGTATGTGGGGTATTTTCTTCTTGGCCGGAGTGTAACAGAAGGTTTTCTGAAGCTAGTCGTTGTTCAACCTGCATCCAATGTGTTTCACTGATCCCAAGCACCTCCTGGTTCTACCTCTTCATTTCTGCAGCAATTTGGAAGACTCTCCCGGTCTTCCACATTGTACGAGCGTTCAATGTACCTAAATTAATGGTTGCTCTGGTTGTCAGAAGGGGTATCAGCCTCATGACTTCCGAAGGAACTCGGCTTTGACCATGAGACGTCATAACGTTTCTAAATGGAGACCTTCTGACTCCCAGGGCAGAATTTAAATATTTTGAATTATTCTTTCTGGTTAGCGATTTTTAACGAGTTAGTTTTCTACAAGATGGGGTCACTAACCTCATGCCCAACCCTCCTCCTTTATCTGGGCTTGAAACTGGCAGTAGCCCCAGAGGGGCCTCAGGCGGACTTATCCATCTACTATGTAGAACTAAATCATTGACTAAATAATTCACCAATTGCTTTTGCGAAATTGGAATTTAGGCTGTTTTCTTACTCAGCGAAGTGATTTAACCCAGTATTTTCTACTAGAATTTCACACTTATCATGACAATCTCATTTGATATTCTCAAGTAGTTTAAATAATATATTTTCAAGTATTTTGATGTAATTTAACTCAAAATCTAAGAAAATGTTTAATATCAGCAATTTCATTCTATTTACTGAAGTAGGGAAAATACCGCAATTTGAATTATTTTCATTTTTTTATAACTAGTTTTAACATCTAATTTAGTCGTTTAACTTGTGGTTTAATTTTGATAAATTAACTGACTATATATATACATTCCCATGCTTTCTTGTTCACATGGATCTTCTTCCTTCTTATATGTTTGAATATTCTTTTCGTTCAGTTTTTATTTTCTCAACACTGTATGTCCTGTTTTGTAAGTTCATTCTGTTTATTGTTTAATGATTACTTGTTTATTTATTTATACAGTAAACTAGATTAAAATAAACTAGCTGTTAGGAATAACAAGTATAAATAAAATATTAGCCAACCGTCAATCTGTTTTGTTTTGTTTTTTTCTTCGTAAAAATAAATATTTGTTATCTGATATGTCATAATACTTGTGATTATTTCTATTCGGTCAATTATTCAATCTTTTGATCAATTTCAATTCGTCATATAGGTAGTAGTACTGATGTATGTTTGTAAATTGAGCCTGGTAATTATAATTTTCCTCATATGCGTTAGTATGATAATGAATAGTTAACTATTATCAATTTAATAAACATCTTGCTAACTGTTTATTAATAATTATATCGCTATTATAATTGGAAATTGATGCTACAACTTTGAAGTAAGAAATAGAAATAATCTGACTATTTATAATACAATGAATTTATTACATTTTAGTGGATACATAAATATAGCTGGATAACCCAACTGATGGAATTATACTTTTAAATAATTTAAAAGTTGAATGTTGGTTGGTATATTGATGAAAATTATTTCAAGGCACGTGAACAAGTCGAATGTGATAATGAAATGTGTTCAGCAGGCGATTTCAATTTCATCTATTATAATTGTAATAAATTGTCGTAAGTAAACTATGCAGAATGAGCGTTCAATATAAAGAAGTACTTAATGTTTTTTCGGCGATAGTAAATAAATCTACCTTCCGTAACTCCCGTTATCACATTGCGATGTGGAAATCCAAGGTAATCCATACCTTCTTGGGAATTCAAAATCAGCTAACTTAACTTAAAACACTTCAATAATAAAGAAACTGTAGTTTGCTCTCAGAAGAATTCTTATATGCGATTGTAGTTTCGGATACTACGTTCAGGTCATATAAATTATTCTAGCATCTGAACTGGTCAATTAATTCATTCTTCTCAAGCTACATTTTGACTGTGTTCATTAGTCACTTAGTAACCCTGACTTTTTATATGAGCGTATGTGTGTGAACATCTTATCCCACTCATCACATATCTGTAGCTTATTTTTGTGTGACTATAAATATTTATTAACGCTTGATTAAATTGAGTTGGTTCACGCGCCTTCTTCACTAAGCGACCTTCCGTTTCTCTTTGCTCTCTCTTCTTCGCTTCATTCGCTGCGATTCTCTGATTGTCTGTTCCAATCTATAAAGTATACGTGTTCAAACATCCTTTCTCACATTTGACTTATTTAATTCTGTCGATAATTATGTACAAGGATTGACGATATGTGTATTTTAATAACAATTGATCATGCGATCTACTTGGGCCACTAAACGGTATAATCTTGATGTCGCATTATTATTATCTGAGCTTGTTTGTAACGTCCAGAATTGTTGTGTCGAACATTCTTAGTTTGAGCGTTACATCCGTAAAGGCTGGAAATCATACCTACTTCACTCCAGTGAAAGATTACGTTACACTCAATTAGGTAAACTCTGATCAGCATTTTGAACGATATCATGTCGTTATTAACCATCTGATAAGTGGTTTTAATGTATGTACTTTATAACGGATGGAAAACTGATTGATTTCTGAACGCTCTGTGTTTATACATGTCTTCAGTGAATTCATCCCTTGTTTGGGCAATGAAATCCTTTAATTTAATGAACTGGGATGATTTTGTATTTAACTTCCGCTTACCAGTTATAGTATTTCGTTGAAGAGGTTTGTTATTCCCTTGGACAATATATTTTTAAATGTATCAACTATTTTCGAATAAATCGTCATTAATCACTTAATGATCGATCAAGTATATGATTTTGTTGTTATTGTCTTGAATGTCAAAAAAAACAATGCTGATAAAAATTTTCTGTTCCATATCATTTAATGTATTTAATTTGTTTATATTATTTTTGACAACGACTAAACTGATAATCCATAATGAAATTTTTAACTTCTTGTTTTTAGATCTGAATCCAATTGTATATTTATATTTTTGCAGGACTTAATGATCACAAATTGAATGAAAGTTCTAATTGGAGATTATGGCTTTTTTTTCTAAATATCGAGCAAAATAAAGTATTTTACATTCATACAAATCTAGTTGTAAAGAAAACTACCCTGTAATCATATACTGATTTGAATAAGACAAAATGAAGTTGAATAAACTATGGGTAATATGTAAAAACAAGATTGATTTACACTTAACAAATATTTAATTAAGTTACATGATGACATTAATTGAAGTTTTCCTATTTGTTGTTGTTGTCGTCGTCCTGAATAAGATGAAGATAACTTGTTTATTAAGTGATAAATCTTCTTCATAATCATTTCAATTATTGTCACGTATAATTTAATGTTGTCTAATCAGTATTAGCATAAATTAATTATTCTATTATCATACTTAATAGTTGTGTCTCAGAAAAAAACATAACTATATCACCTTGTTCTCTTTCACTTGTATCTCACAATATAACGCCCATGACAAGGAATCAATAGATTTCTGTGAATGTATGAGAGAAGTTCTTTTTTAAAATACAAATGTGTTTATTATTAGCATAATAGAAAACATATTTCTTTTATTCGTCACTATTCAATTGAATATTACTGAAAGTTAGAACATTAACTGAATAATTTTTCCTATGCATGAAAAACGTGACAGTTTGACATTAGTGTCAAATGTAAAATATTGATTACTTTAAACCTTTCATATTGTATGTATTTAGAAATTGACATAAAATATGATCGTATCACTATTTAAAAAAAATACAGAACTCATGGTTAGCATTTATAGAGTATCTCAATTATTAAGTCTAACATAAAATTCTGAGGATACAAAGTGTTTATTTACTTACTGAAGCCTATTGCCTCTCTTGAGGTTTAAGGCACCTTTCAGGAATCTCAAGGCATCTTTGTCCCTGGCTCTCCCTTCAAGTTGTCAACGATTTCTGTTCATGATTTCGATGTCTGCATCCAATTCTTAACACGATATATTCTTCGGTCTGCTTCATTTCCTACTGTATTGAACATCCCAAGATAAAACTTGCAATATGATGCGTTCTAATAGCTTCCGTATGGTGTGTCCTCTTAACTTCCAGAATCTTTTCATATTTTCGCCTCAAATGGTACCTGATTTGTGCTCTATCAAAGTAGGTTACTGCTGATGATCGCTGGCCAGTGGATCTGGAATATCTTACAGAGTCAGCTCTCTAAGTTCCAGACATTCTTCAGTTGTACGTATGTTGTCCTTTCTTTACTGATTCATCCATTTCCATATACATCAAATCCTACTTGTTCATCAGAGATGCCACACAGTTACTTAAAGGATTTCACTTTTTGAAGAGATTCACTATCATGTATGATTTGGTTATTACTCATTGTGTTGTATTTCAGAATCTTACTTTCCTCCTTACTGCGGCCGAAGTTGAGGTTACATTAGCTGTTTTCCTCTAAATTTGTTGTGTATGCGATAGAAGGACTAAGCTATCTGCAAAGTCCAAATCACCCAGTTGCATTTAGAATATGGAGGTCCTCATAATCCAGTCAACTATCAAAGGAAAGAGAAAAGACGAGAGTAGGGAGCCTTGTCTGACGCCTGTTCTCATTTGAAATAAATCCGCCTAAATAAGTAAGTTATCTTTGGGGAATTCGGTGTTCAGTGCATTGATGTGCGATGACTTCAGTGACGTTGGTCTATTCATGGGTTCTTAAAGAGCTCTATCCAACTGTTCCACTGCTCTCGGTCCTCAGAGATTTGTTGGACCTGTTTGCTCCCAGCTGATCTCTACGGTTTTCCTGCACGTTTCAGTTGTATCATGTAGTAGCTTCATATGTCTTCTTTTAGCTTGTGCCATATTTGAAAAATTCTCTCAGTATTTCCGTTTATAGGCTCAAATAGCGTTGTTCGCTCACTTGTTTTCTTGTGCGGATTCAGTCTGCCCATTTACTTTCCGTGTTCTTGTTCAGCTGATGTTGACTCCTATCTTCTTGTGTTTACTTTCTTTGATCATGCCCATGTCTTCTACAGAGACCTGGATGTTGATGCTTCACTGGGTCTAGTACTTCGTGGTATGTTGAAGTTATGGCTTCTCAAATCCCTTTCCAGTTGAGATCCTTAGTGGTTTTCTTTCAGTAAATCTTGTAAGACTTGGAACTTTTTACTGAAAGCTACCTTGAACTCAGTGATCTTTTAACTCTTGAAAGAGACTAGAATGAGCCTTAGTTGTGTTGTGTGTCCAATCCTATAAGGTTTGTTTAGTTTCAATTTTGACTTGACCGCTACCAGGTGTTAATGTGAGGCGAAATCAGATCCTCCTTCCTTTCTTCGTCTCTAGTGGGTCTTTTATATTGGTAGTTATGTATACGTAATCAGTCTGGTCCAGAAAAACACAAGTAGATTCGCGTACGCATTTGTGTTGGAAAATGTTGCCGCTTTAGAACATAATGTTAAAAGTACACAAATCTACTAGCCCCTCATCATTCATGTTCTTTTTTCCCAGTCGATATATTCTTATAATGACTCATACTTGGTGCTTCTTTGTTATGAACCTGAAGGTATGACTTCCCCTTCCCATAAACCCTTCTTGTGTGTGGGGGGGCATATCTATCTTCATGATCAGAACGTAAGAGCTCCGCTCATGAAGTTAGAATTTTCTGTTCAAATTTTATTCAATGGGTTTAACTTATTTCGAACAGAGTCAGGTTGTATCTTGTCAGTTTGGTTACTATTTGGTTGACTTCTGATTTCCCACATTTTCTGGACGTTCCATATACCTATATCATTTATTGTCTGGTTTTCAGTGGGAACATCTTGTTCGTGCGTTTAGAAGAATCTTGGGTTTTACCAATGAAGCGTTATAACTCTTCTGTCTGAATACTTTTTAACTCCCAGATCAGAGTTTGACTGATCTTACCGATTTTTCTGGTTACTTTTTATGTAGCAGAGTTTTTTTAGCGATATCCGTCAACCAAAACTACAACCGAATTTTCTGGTTTACCCGGGAATGGAAACTTGCAACAGCCCCAAAAAGGGACTTCAACTGAACTTAGAGTAATTTATTAAATGTAATTATTTCAGATAACTGTTAACTGATTAGGTGTATAATTTCAAACAGACTTTAGTTTTATTCTTCAAAATAAACCATATTTTACTAAGCTGCATTTGAAACATAAGAAAGTCGGCAGTCATGTAAAGCTCTCTTATAATGTGTGCAAAATAATTACATGAAATAAAATTTAAGTATTGATGGAACTTGTTTTGGATGAAATATTAAACCTATCACTTTTCTTTCACGATAATATCGATCATTTATTTTGTCATTCATTAAAGGTATGCTCTTGATCTGGATTTTGTACATGGTAGTACTTATTAATATGTATATATATGTACTAACTTCTAATAGATTACACTGTATGTTATTTAATACTTTGTCATTCAATGAACCTTATTAGTCATTCTGTGCTGTTTGGATGATTGTCTCTAATCGACACTCAGTATGAGACATTAATTATTCGGTGAAAAAAAAGAAATAAACTCCTATCTACCACTTAAATTACTGTCAAACATTGAATAAGCGACAATCTAAAATGAGGCACCAATAATGAATACCCAAATGCCAAGCCTTGGAATTATAGTCAGAATAAATGTTTAATTTTGACCTTGAATAATAATGGGAACATCTTAGAAAATTATACGTATTTTGTGTCAAACAGACTCAAAAAAGAAACGAAATCTGCATCAGTTATTATTTAAGTGAATACAAATATACAAAAAATTGAGCGGCAATCATTTCACTGTACTATTTCATTACATAATCTTTTGTCATAATACATTTTAACCAATTTCTTTTCTATAATATTTAAAGTTATCAATTTGAGTTTAATGGTTCGACAACAGTTCAGAATGAATAATTGATAAGTAACTGGTGAATAGTAATAATTCCCTATATAAGCAAGTTATATATGTGGAACAATTAGGACAAACAATGTATAAATAATATCAATGGTTAAGATCATGAGTCAGTTGAAGCTGAACCACCATGGAAAACCTGGAAACACTGGACGGCCGTTTCGTCCCATTGTGGGACTCCTCAGCAGCGCGCATCCACGACCTCGCCCCCTGCGGAATTCTAACCCAGGACCTACTGGTTTCGCGCGCGAGTACTTAACCATTAGACCGCTGAGCTGGCATCCAACGGTGTTAATGTCTAACTTCAACGAATGCACGAAATTAAGCGATACATCCACCATTGTCTTCAGTGAGTTACTATTTCACAACAGACCTGGTTGAACTCCACTGGTCACTACTTCTCACTAGAACTCCAGGATATACCTCGTGAGGTTAGTCACTAGTGAGCACATGTTGATTAATATCAGATGGGTTATGGACGCACACTGCTGAGGAGTCCCACAATAGGACGAAATGGCCGTCCAGTGCTTCCAGGTTTTCCATGGTGGTCTAGCTTCAACTAACTCATGATCTTAACCATCGAAATTACTACAATATCCACAAAACCCACCTGGTATAAATAATAATTTGAATTTCTAATTATAAAGCCTGATGAAGAAGTTATCGAAAACTATCGTTCATTCTAGTACTTCGTATTCTTAAATTTACAATTAATTAACTTAGAACCGGACACTATGCAGATTTTCATTTGACAATGCAAACTGTAAAGCTCAATCCCGCTTGCAAGGTAGTGTCTGGCTCTTCTGCTAAACGGGATTGAGATGTAATGTTTTCATTGTCACTTGAAAGTCTGCATGGTTTTCGGTTCTCCTAAAAACTAATGTAAAATTATCCTAGTCCATAAGGGTAAACTATATATACTTCAGCTTTTTTTTAACTATAGTCTCTAACTTCACTTTTCTACTAAAATGATTTCTATTCAATTATTTCTTTCTATATTGTTAATTTCCATTTACTGTTTTGATATAAATTGTGACTACTTAAGTCGATACATATTTATTTCAGGCCATATGTTGGTTAAAAA